GGGGGTCTACAACTAGAGCACAAGGGGAAATGGCTCAATGCAAATCTTAATCCTAGGATTTTTCTGTGTTTGGCAATAATTTTGATGATTGTCTTTTGAACCTTGTTAGGGTTCTTTAATAGTGTGAAGAGACTAACTTAGTGCTGAATTGGGAGAAATGTCATTTCATGGTTCAAGAAGGCATTGTATTGGGGCATAAGGTTTCAAGCAGAGGTTTGGAGGTGGACAAAGCCAAAATTGAGACAATTGAGAGATTGCCACCACCAATTTCAGTGAAAGGTATTTGAAGCTTTTTGGGTCATGCCGGTTTTTATAGGAGGTTCATTAAAGATTTCTCCAAAACTTTCAAGCCTTTGTGCAACTTGCTAGAGAAAGATGTTCCATTTAAATTTGACGATGCATGTCATGCTGCATTTGTAGAATTGAAGAAGAAATTGGTATCTGCTCTTATCTTTGTAGTTCCTGATTGGAATCCTTGTTTCAAGTTGATGTGTGATGCAAGTGACTATGCTGTGGGGGCAGTACTAGCCCAAAGAAAATCCAAAATTTTTCATTTTATTTATTATGCAAACAAAAACATTAACTGAAACTCAAATGCACTACACCACCACTGAAAAGAATTGTTACCTGTAGTATTTGCATTTGATAAGTTCCATTCTTACTTGGTTGGCACTAAGGTTATTGTATACAATGATCATTTTGCGATTAAGTATTTGATTGCCAAAAAAGATGCCAAACCAAGGTTGATTAGTTGGATCTTGCTGCTACAAGAGTTTGATCTAGAGATCTGTGATAAGAAGGGAACAGAAAATCAAGTAGCAGACCACCTCTCAAGATTGGAGCCTGAACATCAAGGAAACCTTCCCGGATGAACAAATCCTTCAAGTGAATGAGAAATCAATTCCTTGGTATGCTGACTTTGTGAACTATCTAGTAAGCAACATTATTCGCCCAGATTTAAATTTCCATCAAAAAAGAAAATTTTTGCATGATGTTAAATCTTATATGTGGGATGAGCCCATTTTGTTTAAGCAGTGTAAAGATCAAATTCTTAGAAATTGTGTCCCAGAAGATGAAGTTCAGAGTGTGCTTCATCATTGCCATTCTTCAGATTATGGAGGACATTTTGGAGGAACAAGAACTGCTGCTAAAGTCCTCCAATCAGGTTTGTATTGGCCTACTGTGTTTAGAGACACTTACAAGTTTGCTTTGCATTGTGACAGATGTCAACAAGTGGGCAATATCTCAAGGTGGCATGAAATGCCTTTCCACAACATGCTTGAAATAGAAATTTTTGATGTGTGGGGTATTGACTTCATGGGTCCGTTTATATCTTCATTCAACAATAGATATATCTTGCTTGCTGTGGATTATGTCTCCAAGTGGGTTGAAGCGGCAACCTTTCCTCACAATGATTTTAAGGTGGTGATGAAGTTCATCAAGAAAAACATTTTTACTCGATTTGGCACTCCAAGAGCAGTCATTAGTGATGAGGGGAGTCATTTCTGCAACAAATATGTTGATGCACTTCTTGCGAAATATGGGGTGAAACACAAGGTTGCCACCACGTACCATCCTCAAACTAGTGGTCAAGCAAAGGTGTCCAACAGAGAAATCAAAAGGATTTTGGAGAAAATGGTTACTCCCTCAAGAAAAGACTGCACAAGAAAACTCGATGATGCATTGTGGGCTTATCGGACTGCTTACAAAACACCAATTGACATGTCTCCATACATGTTAGTCTTTGGACAAGCTTGTCATTTACCAGTGGAGCTTGAACATAAAGCTTATTGGGCAGTGAAGAAATTAAATTTGGATCTACAAGCAGCGGAGGAGAAAAGGTTGTTGCAATTGAATGAACTCGATGAATTTCGTCTCCAAGCCTACGAGAATGTCAAATTGTATAAAGAGAAAACAAAGCAATGGCATGATCGAAAGATAGTGGAACGAAGTTTCGAGCCTGGTCAAGCGGTGTTGCTGTATAAATCTCGCTTGAAATTATTCCCAGGAAAATTAAAATCGAGGTGGTCAAGGCCGTTTATTGTTTCAAAAGTTTCTCCGCACGGTGCTGTGGAAGTAATGGATAGCAAGACAAATGAAACCTTCAAGGTTAATGGACAACGTTTGAAGCACTATCTCGGAGGGATCGTTGATCGACAACGTTCATTTATTCGTCTAGCCGACCCTCATTGAGCACTCAAAAAGTCCGGCTGAAGATTTTAAAGCAAGCGCTACTTGGGAGGCAACCCAAGGCTTTAACCTCTTTCATTCTCCTTTTTTGCACTTATGGTAGTTTTTGTTAAATTTAGTTAATTGCTGTGTCATTTTCAATTGCATG